GGGGAAGAGCGAAGAAACAACACAGGGTGGGCAGATAAATCAAAGCAGATACAATAAGGGGCTCCACAAGGGAATGGGGAGGAGGGGTGAATATACAGAACAGCAAACCCTTTGCACGACGTGGAAGGCTCTTAAAGGGATTGAATGCAGTTGGGTGGGAAGGAGGGGAGACTAAGGACAAGGTGCGTGGGCGAGGAGGGTTCAGTCTGGGCAGATAAACCAATGCAGACAGAGAGAGAGAGTCACAGTGAGGGGGCAGTGAATGCATCAAACCATAGAAATTTTGCGTAAGATTAAATGGAGCAAAATAGCATGGGGAAGGGGGGCTGAGGACGAGGTGGGTGGATAAATCAATGCAGATTCAATAAAGGATTCAACAGGAGAATTGAGGAAGGGGTGGTGAATTATACTGAACCCCAAATCCTTTGCCTAAGACTGAATGCACCAAAATAATATGGGGAGGGGAGGGGAAGGGGAAGGGGAAGGGGAAGGGGAAGGGGAAGGGGCTCAGAACGAGATAGGTGGATAAATCAATGCGGATAAAAATAAGAGGCTCAGCAAAGGGGGGGGGTGAGACAGGAAAGAGGGTGTGAGAGTGTGTGCCGAACCCCAAGTCCTTGCAGAAAACTGAATGCAGCAAAATAACTATGGGCGAGTGGGCCGAGGACGAGGTGGGTGGATATATCAATGCAGAAGAAATGAAGGGCTCAGCAAGGGAAAAGGGAAGGGGGCGGGGTAAATACACCGAACCACAGAACCTTTGCATGAGATTAAATGCAGCAAAATAATATGTTGATGGCTTCTCACGTGAAAAATAAAAATGATGAAGGAGAGATACAGTGAATATGGAAGCGCCATGAGGGGAGCGGGAAGAATTTAAATAAATGAATAACTGAGGCGGTAATTGCAGATAACCCCGGGCCTTTCTCTTTCCCCCTTATCCTGAGGTAAAACACTCCGTTTTTGTGTCGGCACCGCCGTGTTTTTACCTCATTTTGCCTCCGCGGCTCAGAAACTTCCAGAACAAAAGGCCCAGGCTCTAACCGCCGTCTCCACTCCACACAGCACACCCTCTCCTGACACACCGCTCCCATTGGCTGCACCCGCTCCGACCATTCACAACCCGTCTTACTCAGCCTCCCCCAATCACCGGCGGCTGGGGGCGTCACCCTCCCCTGACGTCAGGCGCACCACCACTTTTATGAATGGGAGGCGCTTACTCTTAAAGGGACAGAGCCTCAGCTGGCACTCATCTCTTACTCTTAAAGGGGCAGACTACCATTTCCCAAGAGCAGTGTACAGCTCTTGGGGTACATTTGAATTGTAGTCCTTGCAGGTAAAGCGGCCAATTTGCACACAGCTTCTCCACAAACAACAATGATGAAAATGATTGGGGAATTTGTGTGTGTGTGATGTCAATTGAGGAATAAACTTTGGGCACAGCATTACATATTGTACCACATGCCCCCTGACTTAAATAACTTATGACATTCACCTGTGACGAGAATCAGACATTTATTCATCTCTACCTTAAAAAGATTCAAATATGCTGCTTCCACCACCATTCAGGTAATTTCCAAAGATTCACGACCCTATCATAAAATATTTCCTCCTCAGCTTATTCAGATTCTCCCATGTGAGGGGACATGCCCTCCACATTTGGATTTACCTCAGGATCATCATCATCCTAGAACCCCACAGTATGGAAACAGGCCATTTGGCCCAACAAGTTCGTACCGACCTTCCGAAGAGCATCCCATCCCCCAAACCTGCATTTCCTATGGCTAATGCACCTAACCTACACATCCCTGAACACTACGGGACAATTTAGCACGACTGATACACCCTAACTTGCACATCTATTGATTGTGGGAGGAAACCAGAGCACCCACAGGAAACCCACACAGACACAGGGAGAACATGCAAACTCCAGCCTGACGGTTGACCCAGGCGAGAGTCGAACCCAATCCCTGGCGCTGTGAGGCAGCGGTGCCAGCCGCTGAGCTACCATGCCACTCTCTATGTTTGGATCAAATCTCCCCTTTTACTGGACGTTGGTTAGGCCACTTTTGGAATACTGTGTTCAATTCTGGTCTCCCTGCTATACAAAAGATGTTGTGAAACCTGAAAGGGTTCAGGAAAAGAAGTTGCCAGGGTTGGAGGGTTTGAGCTATAGGGAGGGGTTGTTTTCTGTGGAGCGTCGGAGGCTGAGGGGTGACCTTATAGAGGATTATAAAATCCTGAGGGGCATGGAGAGGGTGAATAGCCAAGGTCTTTTCCCTAGGAATCAGGGAGTCCGAAAGTAGAGGACACAGGTTTAAGGTGAGAGAGGGAAGATTTATAAGGGGACCTGAGGGGCAGCTTTTTATTGCAGAGGGTGGTGCGTGTATGGAATGAGCTGCCAGAGGAAGTGGTGGAGGCTGGTACAATTACAAGATTTAAAAGGCATCTGGATGGGTACATGGATAGGAAGGGTTCAAATGCTGCCAAATGGGACTTGATTGATTTAGGATATCTGGCTGGCATGGACAACTTGGACCGAAGGGTCTGTTGCCGTGTTGTACAGCTCTATGACACTACTGTTTTAAACTTCAGCAGCTTCAAGCCTAGCCTGTTCTTTTCTCATAAGGCAATGTACCCATTCCCTGGGAGATAGTAAGAACTGCCGATGCTGGAGTCAGAGATAACACAGTGTGTGGAGCTGGAGGAACACAGCAGGTCAAGCAACATCAGAGGGGCAGGAAAGTTGAAGTTTTGGGTTGGGACCCTTCTGGGTGTTAGCCAAGTAAACTTTCCCTGAATTGCTCTCCAACACT